TAAATAGAAGGCACTGCTTAGAAATCAAAAGAAAAATATTTTCTAGTTACCATCTTCCATCTGCCAGCAAATTTCAGATAGATGAAGATGGCATTCACCCATTCAACTGATAGTTACTGAGTGCCTGCTCTGTGTCAGGCCCTGGGTGAGGCAGGAATTCAATCTTTAGTTCTATTTTATTCAACTCAACAATAATTGTATGGGTGGTCTTCAGGAACAAGCCTTTGGGTTGGGTGGGGAATTATGTCAAGATGGAGCTCCAGCCAAGTTAGTGAAGACAATAAACTTGACAGGAAGACCTGTGTTTAAACCCTAGCTTCACCTCTCACTTCCTCAGTGGCCTTGGGAAAGTCCTTTCCTTTTCCATCTATAATAATAAAAGTGTAATATGCTAATTAGACCCTACAGCCAAAAGAGCTTCTGGACGTCCTTCTGGACAAAGCCACAGCAGTGGGGGCTGAGGCAGAGGAGGTTAGGGGTGATCAGGCAGGCAGGAAGGTGAGTGGTTAGGAGAGAGCAGTCCTGGATTATGAGAAGAATGTCCAATGGGATCAGGCCTAAACCAGCAGTCGGACATCCCCCGAGGTGTCCTGGATTGCGAGAGGGTGCAGGCTGGGCTGAGGGATTTCCCCCCATCTCCCATGCACAAATTTCATGCACTGGGCCTCTAGTCTTTAAAATAAAGGGAGTAGACAAGGAAATCTCTAAGGTTACTTCTGGCTTTATTGTTTCATGATTTTACTCTTATTTCACTAAGAACTATGGTCTCTTGTATTGGTTGTGAATCCCAGGAGTGAATGGGCAAACAAGCAGGCGGTGGAGATGAGAAGAATAAGTGTATGGCCATGAATTGTCTATTATGAGTCAGCACTTTTGGGGCCAGAGGTCTTCCTTAAGCATTAGCAGCCATTGGGTAACACCTGTAATGGTAAACCAAAGGTCACCCTGTGCATCCTCCAGCCAAAATAGGATGCCCATCTCATGCCTCTGTATCCTCAGTAGAGCACAGAGGGAGTGTTACTTTGGTGCTACAGAATTGACATTAGCTTCCAGTTAGTCCTTTACACGCAGAGAAGGGAGCATGAGAACAAGCTTTGGTTCGGCTTGACATACCCTTGAAAAATTCTCATTAAAGCCAAGAGAGAACATTCCAGAGATGTTGAAACTCATGTGCCCAAAATGACACAATTCCACCAAACTTCCAGGGCCAATTGAATAGGCTATCCATTAGCATTTCTTGCATTTACTTTCTTTTCTCTTTTTAATGTATTTTTATTTTTATTTTAGAGAGGAAGGGAGAGGGAGGGAGAGATAGAAACATCGGTGATGAGAGAGAATCATCAATTGGCTGCCTCCTGCATGCCCCACACTGGGGATTGAGCCTGCAACCAGGCATGTGCACCAACGGTTCATAGGCCTATGATCAACCACTGAGTCATGCCGGCCAGGCAACTTTCTTTTCTTTTTAATTGTTGTTAAAAGAGAAACAAGTTTCTTACTTGGCTACGGGTATGAATGAACTGATGTGCTGGGCAGGGAACAGCATTTATAGAATTAGAGAACAGAATATGATAAACTAGGAGTGAGAAAACCTGTGGACATGTTCCTTTGACTCTCTGGACCTCATTTTTTCCATCTGAAAAATACAAGGGTTGAATTAGAATATTTATAGTACATGTTGATTGTAAGCCACCCAGTCTAGTACATCAGGATATTATGGCAGGCATCAACAAACTGCAACTCATGGCTGCTGTTTTTGTAAGCCTGCAAGCACCGGTTAAGCAGACTGGCACTGTGCACCTTGGGAACCAAGCCCGGTATCCTCCTTTGTTACTTTGTTCTCCCTGTTCCGAATGCCTGTCTTCCATGCCAGTGTCTGTGTGTTGCTGTTGCCCAGGGCCCATCTAGTCGTCACGTACACTTTGGGATTGTGCTGCTGGCGACGGCTGGTCACTGGGCAGCGGAATCTCACTCAACTTAAAAAAAGAAGGAAATCCTGCCATTTGCAACAACATGGATGAATCTAAAGGACATTATGCTAAGTGAAATACACCAGGCCCAGAAAAACAAATGCTGCATAAGTTCACTAACATATGGAATCCAAAATAGCCAAACTCATGGAATGGTGGTTGCCAAGGCCTGACAGAGAGAGGAAATGGAGAAATGTTGGTCTAAGGGTACAAAGTTTCAGTTAGGCAAGATAAATTCTGGAAATCTAGTGTACAACAATGTGACTATAGTTAACAGTACTGTATTATATAGTAGTACTTGAAATTTGCTGATCTTTTCTGTTCTTACCAGAAAAAAAGAAAAGAAAATGGTAACTATGTGAGGTGATAGATATGTTAATTGGCTTGATAATCCTGATTATTTTGCAATGTATATCTAATCACCAAGGCATACACCTTAAATAAATTTTAATTGTTAATAAAAATTTGAGGAGTGGGGAATGGGAGGGACTGGGGCGAGGTCAATGGGGGGGAAAAGAGACATATGCAATACTTTAACAATAAAGAATTTAAATTAAAAATTAATAAATAAAATAAAAATGTTTATTTCCTCAATAAAGCTAGAGAAAAATGAAAGAAAATTTGCTGGAGGCAGTATGCATTGGGGTAATGCATGTAAACTGTGGGCTCAGGCAGAACAGCATTCTGCATTATTTATGAAGCCTTAGACCAGTCATTGCAATTCTCCGAGCCTCCGTTTCCTGCACTATAGAATAGAGATGATGATAACTGCCATTGGAGTGTTTGTGAAAACTGAATGAGATAATATATGTAAAGTTTTGACACAGTGTCCTGCACTCAATAAGAGCTCAGAAAATATTCAGTTCCATTTCTTTTCAATCACTAATTCAAATGTCAGACAGTGTTGTGATGATACAGCACTAATACAGCAAGAAAAGCATAGAACTGCTGGAAAGTAACATGGGCTCATCTCTGCTAGAGTTCCAAGTGATCACTTTTCATAGCTAAACTTTAGTTTATGCATTATAAAAACGTAAATGACACCTAGCTTTGTTTATTAGTATCATTCCATCATTAATCAATACCTATTGAACATCCACCATACAGTAGTTCCCCCTTATCCATGGAGAATACATTCCAAGACCCCCAGTGAATGCCTGAAACCACAGATAATACTGAACCTTATATATACAGTACTGTTTTTTCCCTACATTTGCACTTAAAAGTAAGCACTTTACGGCTTCTCTTTAGCATATCTGAACTGCCAGGATCACTACTCTTCCACTTTTGGGGTCATTATTAAGTAAAACAAGGGTGACTTGAACACAAGCACTGCAATACCACAACTGCGATGTCAGTTGATCTGATAACAAAGTCTAAGTGTCTAATGGGCTGGTAGTGTACTATATACAGTTTGGGTATGATGGATAAAGGGATGATTCACTTCCTTTGTGAGATAGAATGGGATGGAATGAGATTACATCGAGCTACTCGGAACAGCTCATGATTCAAAAATTATGAATTGCTTAATTCTAGAATTTCGCATTTAATATGTTCCGACCAAGGTTGAAACACAGAAAGGGAACTGCAGATAAGGGGTCTACTGTACAGACTTACTCCTAATGATAAGTACTTGAAACATGTAAATGAATGAGTTTTAGAAGAGCTCACAGTTTAAGAAATTTCAAATTGTTAACAGAGAAATAGCACTAGATGTTAGGCCAAGGTCCTTGAGTGTTGGTTAAGAATGAATTCAGGGCCAAGACTCAAGTATAAGCAAAAGTTTGTGAAAGAAGTGAGCCAGTAGGACTGTGTGGGTTCAGGAAACAATTACAGAGGCAAAAGAAGATACTTGGAGCATAGGAATAAGAAAGTAAAGGTTAAGTGCCTTGAGGGAAGGATCAAGGAAGAAAGGTGCTTAAGAGAGAAAGAGCCACCCTAGCTGGTTTGGCTCAGTGGATAGAGCTTTGGCTCATGGAAAGAGAGAGGGGGAGGGGGAAGAGGGAGAGAGCCGCTGAGTTCTCTGTTTTAAGAGCTTTATCTGGAGGTTTCAGGGGAGGATCTCAATAGAATATTTATCAGCTTTCCAGGTGTGTCTCCTCAGGGTCCTGGTCTCCACTGATTGGTTGGTACTAGGGTAGAGGGTCTTAAGTCCTTGCAGCTGGTCTTGACATCACTCTGCCTGGCCTTGTTGCTTTTTCAGGCCTGGAGCTGAAACACAACTGAGGTCTATTTGTTACCTCTAGGGCTTAATGCTTAAGGGAGTGGTCCTGCAAGGGCTTGTACGGGAGTCACATGAGGCTATTCTCCTGCCCCCTGTTCCTCTTCCAAAGGGGTCTACCACATGACTAGACATGCCAGGGGAGGAAAGGTCAGGGGAGGGTCAGAACTGCATAACCAGCGATAAGGCAGTCAGGGGGTCAGAATCACATGATCAGTGACATGCTAGGGTAAGAAAGGTTACCCTGGGGGTGAGGTCCCCTTCCAGTTTTGCCCTTCTAGATACTTAGGGCTTTCTGCTGATACCTGGCCTATTGTTCCTATTCTGCTCATGTTTGTCTTAATTGCCTACTGTATCATTATGAGATAAAGTCTGTGAAAGTAGGGATACAGGCCAGTGACGAGACTAACAGAAGAAAGTGCTGGAGTGACTCTCAGCTTTCTAGTTCCCATGGAACTCTATCCCTAAAACCTTCCATTCACCTTCTGTATGTGTTTGCCTGGGAGGTGAGGGCAGGAGAGGCAGCTGTAAATAAAACAAAAAAGCAGCTGCCTTCCTCTCTGCAAGAAACAAAAGGAAGTCACTGAGCTTGTCTAGATTGGATCTGAGATTCTGTTCTTAACCGTAGACAAGCCACTGACGCTCCCTGAGAGGCCGAGGGGGGCAGGCCTGCGGTGGGGTAGAAACCAGGGAATCCCTGCTGCGCAGGCGCATTCGGACTCTCGCGGCGCAAAGCCCCACTGGGTCGGAAACCTGACGTCACAGTCTACGTAGGAAGACGTGGGGAAGGCGGCGCGGCCTACGCCGGCTCTCGGGTCACGTGACGCGACAGGAGCGCCATCGGCTCCTCCCTCCCCAAGATGGCGTCCTTGCTGCAGTCGGAGCGGGTCCTCTACCTCGTCCAGGGAGAAAAGAAGGTCCGGGCCCCTCTCTCGCAGCTTTACTTCTGCCGCTATTGCAGCGAGCTGCGGTCGCTGGAATGTGTGTCTCACGAGGTAACGCCGTCGTCCCAGGAAGAGGATGGGTCTGGAGAATGGAGAATGGGGGAGGGGGGAGGGAGAGGCTTTCATATTAGTCACCCCGACGCGGCGGGCAAGTCCCACCGACTGGAGGCGGGTAACCATTTTCCTACCTTGCTGATTGGCCCGTTTTCCGTCACTCATGTTTGCCCGAGCTTTAATGTGCTCCTAACCTGTCACTGGGAAAGAAGGAGCGGTCTTGGGTGGGGCCGAGCGGGTCGTCTGGTTCCAGGGCGCCCTCTGATTGGACGAACTTGGCTCCCGGAGCCCTGGCTGTCTCCGGGGCGTTTGGTTCCCGGGTGGGTCCGGGGGAGAAAGGTGTGGACGTGCTTCGTTCGCGCCACTTGAGCGGTTAGACACTGTCTCTCCACGATTGATTTGCGTGGAGTGGACGCAGGCATTGTCATCCACGCCCCCCCTCCCTCCCGTCCTGGAAGGTCTGCCTCTGCATTGGCCGGAAGCTGGCCCCTCTGTCCTGGCCCAGGCCTAGGCCCAGGCCTGCTGCAGGGATGGGGATGGAGTTGGGCATGCCCTGTAACAAGCTGAGAGTTCTATATTAATACGCTTCCCCTGAGAGTAGGGTGCTGTCGTCTTTCACAACATGGACGTTGGTGGTGGGGTTGTCCGAAGGTAAAAGATCCCACCCGGTAAAAAAAATCACCCCATTGTGCAGCGCTTGACACATCTCTTTTGTTCAGTAATCTTTGGGGGTTAAAAGATGAGAAGACGTAAATCCTGCCGTTAAGTAACAGTCTCATGGAAGGAAGAGTTAATAGTAGTAATAGATACAGTTTACTTGTACTCTCTATGTCATATGCTTGACATAATCTCCTTATCTTTCTACAACCCAATGGAGTGGATACCTTTAAAAAAAAAATAATTTTACAGGTAAAGGAACAGACACATAATGTTAACCCTAAATTACACTGGGAGGACCAAGATTTGAAAACGAGCATCCTGACTTAGAACTTCAGTAAAAATCCCTGGACTATTAAGAAACGCATATAAAAAATTTATCTTATCCCATATGCCATTTTACATATTATTAATAATTACTTTGGAGGGATATTTTTCACAATATTAAGAATGGTTAGACTCAGTGGTTGACCTCACACCCAGAGGTCACTGTTTGACTCCCAGTTCGATTCCCAGTCAGGGCACATGCCCGGGTTATGGGTTCGATTCCTAGTGTGCGTGCGGCATTCAGGAGGCATCCAATTAATTATTCTCTCTCATCACTGATGTTTATATCTCTCTCCCCCTCTCTCTTCCTCTCTGAAATCAATAAAAATATATTAAAGAAGAATGGTCAGGGGAAGTATTTAAATAATAGAAGAAAAATGCCATATATGTGTAATATGGTATTGGTTTTTCATGTATTTAACATGGCATTGATTTCTCATGGGTTTCTTCTCCATTAACACTGTGGTGTGTGTGTGTGTGTGTGTATACACACATGCCTGTGTACCTGTGTGTATCTCCTTGGCAGGTCCTTCCTCGTTTAGATACTTCCCTGTTCCAGCTCCACTCTTACAATTTATTGGATTAGATTCTCCTTTGATGGTTACTAGGGAGCTCAGATTTCATGATCTCCAAGGATGTCTTCAGCTATGACACTCAGTCTGTAACTGAATCTTTTACAGACTGGTGTGTACCTGTGAGAGAGAGGCCATTAGGGAGTGGGGAAGGATAATACCAATGAGCAGTCCAGAAAGTTCTAATGGAGAACCTGGATTGGAGCTGCACATGAAGGGAAAGCATACTTTGGAAAGGGGGCACAGAGGAATGACTGACAGTTTGCCTTTTATGATGAGTCACTGCAAATATTTGTTAGCAAGACTATAGCTTATGTTCTGGGAGGTTATTTGAGCAGCAATTGTATTAATATTAATCTTTTCAAAGATGGTCCTGTTTATAGCTGATGATGAAAAGAGAAGCCTGTTTCTATAGTATTTATGATTAAGTGAATTTGTCTTTCCATCTGCAGGTGACTAAAGTTCTAAAATTGTCAAATAGAATCTGCCTACATTTAAGAAAATAATAATTCAGACCTTAAAATATACAATGAATTTAATTTTTATATTGTGTTTTTGAGTTAAATACAATAGTTTAGCTTAATAGTTTAATTTGTTGTTTAAATATCTCTAATTGATTGACTGTAGCTGACTTTGTAAATGATAATTTATACTGTTCTTCGGTGAACATGTATTGCTTCAGTAATGAGAAAACTTTTAAAGTCTCTCATAATTTAAGTGTGGTCAAATTACTATAATCCAATAAAGCTAAACCAGGTAGAAGACTAATTGATCACATTATTACAAATTAGGTTATTTTAATTATTAATCTATGGTTTGGGTTATTATAGAGTTCTTCTTTTACATAGACAATTTTTAACACATCTAATTCATAAACCCTGATGAAAGGGCACAGAAGAGATCAGAAAGGAAAAATAGAAAACCTACAAAATCTGGATGGTTTGAAAAAACAAACAGGTGATTGAGGAATAAATCCTAAGCTGAAAAACAGTTTAGGTTCTCTGCCAGGTTTCTCACCTTCTGCTTCCGTATAATATACTTCACATTTTACTGTTTGGCAGAGACAAGCTAAACTGAGTTTCCTTTCCCCTGATTTTTTCATTTCTTGTTTCTTTCTAGGTGGACTCTCATTATTGCCCCAGTTGCTTAGAAAATATGCCATCAGCTGAAGCTAAACTAAAAAAGAACAGGTAAGACCAGGATTCATTTTTTGTTTTCTCAATTTTTTTTGTAATAGCTAGTAAGAAAACACATGGAACTATTTTTTAACTAGCTCTTTTCATTTTTTTGCACCTCTTCTGCCAAAGATAAACTATCCTTTAAATAAACTTTCCATTTTAGAACAATTTTAGACTTAAGAATTATTGTGGAAATGATAGAGAATCGTCTTTCCATGTTACCCAGTGTCCCCTACTGTTAACATCTTACATTAGAATGGTGTATTTGTCTCAATTAGTGAACAATACTGGTACATTATTGTTAAATAAACTCCACATTTTATTCAGATTAGTTTTTGTTTTGTTTTTTTTTTAATAATCTCCTTTTCTGTTCCAGGATCCTATTCAGGATATCCAAGTTATATTTAATAGTTATGTCTCCTTAGGTTCCCATTGTTGTGACATCCTCTTAGACTTTCCTTGGTTTTGATGACCTTAAAAGTTTTGAATAGTGGTCAGATATATTGTAGAATGCCCCTCAGTTGGAATGTGTCTGTTTTTCTCATCAGCTAGAATGTATTTTTGGGGAGGAGGATCACTAAAGTAAAGTGTATCTTTCAGCATATCAAGGAAACATACTTTCAATATGACTATCAACTGTTGATGTTAACCTTGATTACCTGGCTTTATCTAGTGCTTGTCAGGTTTCTCCATGTAAGGTTACCCTCTCTTCCCTCCTCCCCCTTCCTTTTCCATGCTGTACTCTTTAGAAGGAAAACTATCACAGCCCACACTTAAATAGTAGGAAATAATGCTCCCCCTCTGTGAGGGTTGTCTACATAAATTATTTGGAATTCTTTTGCATGAAATACATTTCTCTTCTTCCCCACTTATTTAGTTAATCATTTACTTAATGAAGAACAGGCTCCTGGATATTTATTTTATACCTTAGGTTATAATCCAGTACTACTTTTTTTGCTCAAATTTTCTACCTTTGGCTATTGGTAACTAGACTCCTTTGACTTAACCCCAGTCATTGTTTGTTCATTCATTAGAGCACTTTATTACTTTCTGGTACTACAAAATACTCTAGGCTCATCCTGGGTATTTTTGCCTCCTAGAATTAGCCATTTCTCCAAGGAACCCTGGTTCTTTTTTTATTGAAGGATTATATTAAAAACCAAGATCTGGCCTGGCTAGTGTGGTTCAGCAGTTGAGCATTGACCCAGAAACAAAGAGGTCACCAGTTCCATTCCCAGTTAGGGCACATGCCCAAGTTGTGGGCTCAATCTCTAGTATTGGGTGTGCAAGAGGCAGCCAATCTATGATATTTCTCTCTTATTCATTGATGTTTCTATCTATCCCTCTCCCTTTCTCTCTCTAAAAATTAGTAAAACATATTTAAAAAAAAACAAAAACCAAGATCTGGATAGTAGGTATGCTTGTTGCTCCTGGGAGCCATTTGGTTTTGTGCTTGATGTGAAAGTTCTTTGTCACCACTCACATGCTTCCATGGATGTAAACCACTATTACTTGTCTTTCCTGTCTCTGAGAAATACCTTCTGAGAAGCCAGACAGTTTTGTATGCTGTCCACACATTAATTTTAACATTTAATCCTCAAAATAACCCCTGTGAGGTGGATACTATTATCTTTACGTATTTGAGGATATTGTCCAGATGGCAAAATATCACAGCTGACTGGAGTTATGACATGGAACTTCAGACCAAATCTAGGACTGATGGTGAAATTTTGGTAATCTCTGGTTGTGGAAAACATAAAAGCAGCAAGGTACAGGGGCCCCTGAAGGGGAAATGTTGGCTGAGCACTAGGAGAATAGTGCCAGGAAGCCTGAAAATGCAGCACTTCTGAAGCTTTCCGGTATGATAGCTTTGTTTGGTATCTGTGTCAGCTCTCTGGCACAGCAAATAAGAAGTTATTTTCCAAACCAATTTCCCAATCGCTGTATTGTTGCCTCTCAGTTTTCCATTGTGCAGTAGGTCTGTTCTCTCCAAAGGTATAAGCTCTGACATGTCTGTGTTCCTCAGAACTCTCTGTGGTCTGTACAAGCATGAAATAAGTCTGGAAATACTTAACCTGAGACTGTTAACACTGATTCTCTCTGTAGAGTAGGATTGGGTCAGGCTCTAATTCTTCAGGAACTTTTGTGATGATTGCTTTTTATTTTTCTATTATTTATTATTTATTTAACTTTTTATTTTTTTAATAATGAACATAATAATACTTTTGAAATTTTAAACAAAGTTTGTAAGAGTCTCAGGAGTACTTAATTATTTCTTTTTGCATGAGAGACAATCCTCCCTTACAGTTCTCTTGAATTCCTAACACCCGGAACAATGTCTGGTGTTGGTAGGTGCGTGCTAACACTTGTGGGGTGAATGAATTGTTGTATTTTTTGTATGATAGATGCGCCAACTGCTTTGACTGTCCCGGCTGCATGCACACCCTCTCCACCCGGGCCACAAGCATCTCCACACAGCTTCCAGATGACCCAGCCAAGACCACCATGAAGAAAGCCTATTACCTGGCCTGTGGATTTTGTCGCTGGACATCTAGAGATGTGGGCATGGCGGACAAATCTGTGGGTGAGTGAGGTAGACTTCCACATGAGATTTTGTGAAATTGGCAGTGCTGTAATTGCCCACAGGCTATGTTAAGTAGTTTTGGTTTTTTTGCTGTTGTTCATTCTCACCCGAGGATAATTTTTTTCCATTGATATTTTTAGAGAGAGGAAGGTGGAGGGGAGAGAGGGAAACATCAATGTGAGAGAGACACATTGATTGGTTGCTTCCTGCATGTGCCCTTATCAGGGCACAGGGATCAAACCTGCAACCCAGAGATGTGCCCTTGACTGGGAATTGAACCTGAGACCCTTAGGTTCACAGACAGACACTAACAACTGAGCAAACCTGCCAGGGCTATTTAGTTTTCTTAGAGTTTGTCAAATAGCTTTTATAAATCTAATACTTTCTTAGAGACAAAATATTGATGCTCTTTATTATAAATAAATGCTCCTGATGACAAAACACACCATAAGCAAAATTAAAAATAAAAGTGACAAATTAAGAAAAGTATTTGGATCATATACAAGAGACTAAAGATAACCAAAAACGAGGAATACTTACAAATAAATAAGAAAGAGACTCAATAGAAAAGTAGGCAACAGATATGAACAGCAGGTCTCACAGTGGAAATAAAAATGATCAGTAACCAAAAATGTGCATACTGAAGGGGCCACAGTAGGATTAAAATGATAGGTCTTTGCCTTACACTCTATTTTTTTCAATCCTTACCCGAGGACATACTCATTTATTTTTAGAGAGAAGAAGAGAGAGTATGAGAAAGCCTCTCATACATGCCCCAACTGGGGACCAAACCCACAGCCTAGGTATGTGCCCTGACCAGGAATCCAACCATAACCTCCTAGTTCATTGGTGGGGCAGACTCTTAACATTTTTTGAAGTCATAACTCATATTCCAGCCTTTCATGTTTCCTTCCTCAAAATTTTACAGACCTTTCTTTTTACCTGTACTCTTTCTTTGGCTATCATTAAATACCTGGTACTGTTATTATTGTTTATATGTGAATTTTTCAAGTGTTTTCAACTCTAATATGAGTTCTCTGGGAACAGAGACCTGTATTGAATGTATGAATTCTTCATTTAGTTTTCATTGTCTAGTTGGTTGGATTTTTGTGTTCACAACTGTTGAGGCAATATATTTTTTAAAAGTCAGTAAATATATAGAAAGATATGTTCAACTTGACAAGTAGTCAGGGAAATCTAAATTAAAATTTCATTGATTTGATAAAATATTTTATATCTGGTAATAATCAGGTGTTAGCAAGAATGTAGGAAAATAGTTCTTTCATACACAACCACCTTGAAAAGCAGTTTAACAACATCTATTAAAGTTTTACTTTTTTATTGATTTTAGAGAGAGAGGACAAGAGAGGGATAGAGAAAACATCAGTGAGAGAGCCATCATCGATAGGCTACCTCCTACATGTCCCCTACTGGCGATCGAGCCTGCAACCTGTGCATGTGCCCTGAATGGGAATTAGGAATCAAACCACGACCTCTTGGTTCATGGGTCCACGCTTAACCAATGAGCCACACCAGCCAGGCTACAATTTTAAATGGCTTTTTTTCTTCTGCCCAGCAATTGCATGTCCCAAGTTTCTATATTGGAGCATTCAAACATGTGCTCAATGATACATGTATACCTGTGTATACACATATGCACATGTTTATCAGTGAAACAAAAATTATGTGTATATGGACTTAAAACTACCTACCTACAGCATTCATTGATTACCTGTCCATCATTTGAGCATTTCATAGTGGAGGTTGCAATTATCTATATTAGGAAACTTGCTTTATTTTTACATTTCCTATACTTCCTGGTTAACATCAGAAAGTTGTTTAGACAGTTCAAAATCTTGAGTTGCTATTTAATTTTTATATAAACAGTAGCATTTCTAACTCTCCATTGTCTCTTTTATTTCTCTGAAATTTCACTTAATTATCTGAAAACTTTTTAGACTTGTAAAAAATTCCCAATTTTGAATTTTCATAAAAGATTTTTGCTTACTAACATACGAAGAAGCTCATAACAAATTCATTATGTCATTTGTGATAACTAAAATGAAGTTGGACAATTTCTACACAATTTGGAAGTAAATATGGGTGACATTTCTTTAGATTCAACTCTGTAGTTAAAAATTTAATCTTTGAATCTGTTTACTTTGCCTCTTGGTTGAGAATGCTTGAGCTCGTATCTTTTTTTACATTGTACATTAAGTTGATAAAATATTCTACAAAAACAAAAATGTTAACTAAATAAGTATGTCTTATTTTCTTAAAAATGCTCAGAGGGTAGATATTTCCTGAAATGTGATTTATATTAGAACTAGAGGCCCAGCGCACAAAATCTGTGCAAGGGGTTCAGCCCTCGCAGCCCTGGCTTCATCCAGAATGAAGGACATCCAAAAAGGTCATTCAGCTGCCTGGCCTAATTAGCATATTATGCTTTTATTATTATAGACGATTCTATAGCATCTCATTAGACCTTGAGTAAATATTTGTGTATTCTAGGTGTACTGGTTAATAATGGCGGATTTTGTAACTAAAGAAAAACATGATAATTTCAAGAGGAATATCAAACGTGCTTTATTCAGTCATGTCCATAGCTAGCTATACATTTGCCCATCTTTCAGGTATTTGTGGATACCGTCCCAATAGAACTTTTCTTGTTTTGAGGCACACCATTCAGAGACCCAATTTGCTGCCACTTCATACATTTTGAAGTGCTATTCAGAAAGTGCTTGTGCCATTGATCAGAACAAGTGGTAATCTGAAGGAGCAAGGTCTGGTGAATATATGGTGGATGGGTTAATACTTCCCAGGCAAGATCTTTTAACATGTCTGTAACCGGTTTTGAAGTGTGTGATGGCACATCATCATGAAGCAAAATTACTTTGCTGTGTGATCCAGCACATTCTGGTCGTGTCACAATCAAAGCCTAGTACAAATTGATTATTTGTTGTTGGTAGCGGTCAGCATTAACAGTTTCACCTGGTTTTAGAAGCTCATAATGCACCACACCTTCCTGATCCCACCAAACACAGAGCATTGTCTTCTTTTCGAAGCGATTTGGCCTTGCAGTTGATGTTGATGGTTGACCTGGATTAACCCATGATTTTGTGCATTTGGGATTCTCAAAATAAATTCACTTTTCATTACCATCACAATTCGATGCAAAAAAGACTTCTTTCATGCCGTTGAAGCAACATTTTACTGATGACTTTTCAGTTTTCCATTTGTCTTTCATACAGTTGATATGGCACCCATTTTCCTTCCTTTAAAATCTTTCCCATTGCTTGTAAATGATTGGAAATTGTTTGCTGAGCAACATTTAATCTTTTTACAGGTTGTTTTTGAGTTTGACATGTATCTTCATCCAATAATGCTTGTAATTATCAGTTTAAAACTTTTTTGGTTGACCTGGACATTCTTTGTTTTGCACATCAAAATCATCACTTTTAAAACATTTAAACCAGCGTTTACAAGTATCTTGAGATGGAGCATGTTCACCATAAGCTTCCCAAAGTATATGATAACTCTCAGCAGCTCTTTTTTTGGCACAAAATTCGACATTTTTAAGCATAAAAATATCTATGATGTTAACACCTTCAGCAAATTTGACATATGAAGTTTAGAAGCTTGCTGTCAATACAACAAAATAGCATACATATCAACATATATGTACCTCCATCTATTGAAAAAAAATCCGCATAATTAACTGGTACACCTAGTATATGTTTTAATTTCAGTGTAGCAAGCAAGTTGTTTGAATTTGTTTGTGTTAAATGTTAAAAACTCCCACCTCAAAATGGTATAATATATGCCTTATTGAGTTAAAGTATTTTTCCGTGTTTGTATTCTGTTTCTTTTTAGCAAACTAAAGAAACAAAGTACATAAATCCAAGTAGATTTCTCAATTTGTTCCTCTGTAAGTGAATGTTTATTGTGAGCCATTAAGATTAGAGATTTTTTTTTTTTTCCCCCAAAATTTAAAACCTGTGCTTGCTTCTGGAAATATCTCTCTTCTAGGGTATCTTGACAGTGATAATTGAGTTCTTGGAGCTCTTAAAAGAGTAGAGATAATTTCATTTTTCCATGTTGTCATTGGTGTCTGAAGAGCTCTGAAATCACTTTAGTTGGAACTGTTTGGTTTCTAAGTAAGCCATTGTGTCAGTAATGTGCAGAGAAAAACTCATAATGACATTGTTATGTCTCCCAAATTGCTGTTTAGAATAAATTACCAGTTCTAAAGAAGCAATTGGGTAGAACATTTAGATTTTTAAAAATATTACTTCTAAAACATTTCTTTTAAATAATTCTTTGTCGTGATTGCCTTAAGTAGGCAGCCTTTAAATTATGAGCAATGTACTAAAGGCTGTTATTGCTGCCATTTCTTGCAAGGGGGCATAGTGACACCTTCAGCAAGAGTCCTCTTTGTTTTGGAAAGAGTTATTTTAACTTATACAATTAATACACGTGCATATATCATATTTATCCCCCAGCTTAACAAAATAAATACAACCCGAACAGTTTAAACTGCTGTGTTGCCTCCCCCTGCCTCTTAGAGAGAGGTAGTCATCACCATCCTGAAGTCAGTGTGTTTTGGTATCCAGGCCTGTCTTTATACTTCTCCATATGTATGGCCACTAGCGATCATGTTTACCAGTGTGGAACAAATGGAAATCTATATGTATCCTGCTACGACTTCTCTCTATCGATGTTATTTTTATAATAGTAGTTGATTTCATGCATGGATTACCACAGTTCACTTACTCAGTTTCCTCCTAATGGACATTTATGTTGTCAGTTTTTTCCTTTGGACACAGTATTGTTAGAAAAATTCCTGTATGTATTTCTTAAGTAATAAGAGTAAGGATTTCTCTGCATAACTAAAAGTAAAACTGCTGGTTTTAAGTTATGTACATCTTTAGCTCTCTAAAATGGTTTACCAGTTTTTCCTCCCCCAAGTAATATATAAAAGTAAATTAGCCCATGTTCTAGATTCTTGACAGTTCTTATTTGTGTTGTGTGTGTTTTTAATCCTCATCTGAAGATGCCATTGATTTTTTTTTTTTTTTTTTTTTTTTTTTTAGAGAGTGTGGAGGGGAGGGAGGAAGAAAGATAGTGGGGGAAAGAGGGAGGGAGGGAGAGAGAGAGAGAGAGAGCGCGCGAGAGCGAGCGCGCGCAAGAGACAGAGAGATAGCGGGAAAGAGGGAAACAGAAACATCCATGTGAGAGAGAGATACATCAATTGGTTGCCTCCTGCACATGCTCTGACTGGGGCCAGGTATCACCCAGGTATGGGCCCTTGACTGGGAATCAAACCCACGACCCTTTGTTATGCAGGCTGACACGCTAATGCTGAGTAACACGGTCCAGGGCCCTTGGCATGTCTTAGTATTGTTTTTCCGAAAGGATGGTTGTAAAATGGTATCTCATTGTAGTTCATTTTTTTCACTTTTTTTATTAGCTTTATTGACGTATAACTTACGTACAATGAACTCACCAATTTTAATTGTAGACTTCTATGATTTTTGACAAATGTGTATACTCATATAGCCACACCACAGTCATGTAACAGAAATTCCATCACCCAAAAAAGTTTCCTCATGCTCCTTTGCTGTCATTCTTTTGTCCTGACCTGGCTCCTGCCCCACTGATAGGCTTTCTTTCACTGTAATTTTGCCTAATCTGGAGGTTTATATAATTGAAGTCTTGTACATAGTCTTTGTGTGTGTCTTCTTTCATTTAGCATAATGCTTTTGAGATTCACCCATATTTTTGCTTTTTATTTATGTGTAGTATATCTGTTGTATGGTTATACCAGTTTGTTTATTCAATTTCTAGTTGATGGACATTTGGATTTTTTCTAGTTTTTGTCTTATAAATAAAGCTGCTATGAACTTTTGCCTACAAGTCTTGGTGTGGATATGTTTTCATATTTCTTATGTAAAAGGAGTGGAATTGCTGAATTGTAGGGTGAGTGTACATTTAATGACTAGAAACTGCCAAACTATTTTCCAGAGTGTCTATACTATGTGGATCCTCACCAGCAATGTAAGGAGAATTCCAGTTCCTCATCAACCTTTCATATTGTCAGTCTTTTTCATTTTAGCCATTCCAGTGAGTGTGTAGCGATACCTCATTGTGGTTTTACTTTGCATTGTCTTAATGTGCTTTTTTGCCATCCATATGTTTTCTTTGGTGAAGTGATTGTACAAATCTTTTGCCTATTTTTCAGTTGAATTTTTGTCTTTTTATTGAGTTGTAACAGTTATGTATTCTGGGTACAAGACCTTTGTTCAATATATGTTTTGCAAATATTTTCTCTCAGTCTGTGGCCTACCTTTTTATTTTCTTACCAGTATCTTGAAAAACACAAATTTCTAATTTTGATGAGGTCCTATTTATCAATTTATTTTATAGTTTGTTCCTTTTGTATCCTAGTGAAGAAACTTAGGCTAACCCAAGGTCACTAAGATTTTCACTGATGTTTTCTTCTAGAAAGATTATAGTTTTAGCTCTTACATGTAAGTCTATTGTCTATTTCAGAGTCAGTTGTGTATGTGTTGTGAGGTAAGATAAAGGTTCATTTTTTTGTAGATGGGTATCTAGTTGTTGCAGCACCATTTGTTGAAAGTATTCATTATGGTTTTATTTTTAGCTTTCTGGAATAATCTTTTCTATTATGATTTGTACAGTTTGTTTCTTATAGAAGAACTTATTTTCCAAACCAGGGCCATAAAATAGAAATTGCAGTGTTGCAGGTAAGAGCAGGGTCTCTGGAGTCACGCTTTGACTCTTCGCTTTACCACTTACTATCTTATCTCTGTGACTTGGGCAAGTTATATAACTTTCTGAACCTCAATTTCCTCATTTGTAAAATAATAGGAGTCCCCACTTCACTGTCTTATTATGAGAATACAATGTGCCTGGCTATACATATGTTAGCTGTGCTGGTAGTTATTATCACCATTATTATATTTAAAGAAAAAATTTTATTCTGAGCATTCTGGTCTATATCATTTCTAGGACTCATTCTTGGAATTTCTGTGATTTTTTTTTTTAAGTTTTGTAGCCTGCAAAATGACCTATTTTTGTGAAAATAAAATTATAAAATTCTTGTTTAATCTTCCTTTATTTTGCAGCTAGTGGTGGTTGGCAGGAACCTGAAAATCCTCACACTCAACGGGTAAGTAAAGGGTCATTAGAGAGAGGATGAAATAAGGGAGGATGGAGAGAAAGATTCAGGATCTTCCATTTTATCAGTGGATATGCCTGTGCTTTGAAGCCCACGACACGTATTTTGGTGTCTATTACACATAGAAAGTGCTTCTCGTTGTAAGACATTAACTCACAAGGGCAGTTTTTCCCCATTAAGTTAATACAATAGAACGTTTTAAGTATAGTTTTAGTTCTTTCTGTACGTGAGTGCGAATTGCAAAGGAAACAATATGCTTTTGTATTTCACATAGCCCACCAACTAAGTTGAATTTCCATTTTTTCTCAAATGCTCTTGGAAGTATCATCAGCATATAGACATCTCAGTTCCTGGAAACACCACAAATTTAGAAGATGCCCTTTGACTCAGTAGTGTTTGCTTATAGAATCATGACTGGAGCATCCTTTAACAGTTCATGCAGGATTGATCTCTATCGTATACATTAGAGCTGATTTTTTTGCCCCTGGAACTAGAATGTGAAAAAGATAATGAAATACTATTGAAATGAAGTATGTACAAACTGCAGTTTAATCACAAGTTATAATTATTCACTTATGACATTAGCAGAAATTAGAAATACTAAAAATATCCTGGATGATCGTGTGGGGAATTGGACCTTTTTACATATACTGTTGTAAGTTTAAATTAGTACAAATTTCTTGAGCTCTCAGCAGTATCTGCTTTCTGAACTCTGACCTATAGAAGTATTTACACTTATGCACAAAAATATATATTCATTCATCATACATTTATTGAGCACTTACTATATGTCAGGGACTGTCCTGAACAATAAGAATACATGGTTTTTACCTTCATAGAGCTTAAGTCTAATGGGAAAATAAAATCAATCAAATAATCCTCAGGTACAGGAAAAACTAAGTAATATGAAGAGAAATTGTGTTATGTGGACATTTAGGGGGAATTTCATCTAGTTAGATCTATATCTGAGGATGTTTCTAAGATTTGAGGACAGCAGGCACAGAAGGGAAAGAATTGAAAGCAGGGGAACAGCATATGCAAGGAGTTTACAAGTGGACGAAGCAAAGCAGGTTGTAGACAAGGTGAGCATCGAGCGACTGGAGAGGAGTACTTGCTGTCAGACTGTGTAGACCGAGGTAAGGAGTCTGAAAAGTCTTTGAAGGTTTTAAGCTAAGACTTGCCAGGATCAGGTTAGTGTTTCTAAAACATAATTGCTACTGAAGTGAGAGGACAAGTGTGAGTACCAGGAGACCGTTAGGTCCTATCATAGGAAATGGTTAAATACCTAATACATAATAAATACCTAATACAGATGTTAAATACATCTGTCCTGTGTAATTAAGATGCAGCTTTTAAAAAGAATGAGGCAGATATATTTGTACTGGATGGGAAGTTTATGATACTTTCAATGGAAAAAATGTTATAACTTTTTTTCTAACATGAAAAATAAAAAGACCTGTATTTATTTTATACGTATAAAAGCTGTACATCTATACACGAGTTTTTTTCAATGTCTTACCTGTGCCTGTAAATGTGTAAGAAAGCTATCTAAACTCTAATAATGGATACCTCTGGTGAGGGCAGTATAGATTTGGGCATAAGAGATAAAAGAGAAGTTTCACGTATTTTTTTTTATACATTGTTTAAATTTTTTCCAATTAACATAACATTGTTTTTATTATTAAAATACATTTTAAAAATGAAAATATGGGATGCAGTGGAGGAGAAAATAGAGTATGGAATGTCACATTCTTAGAAATAGATGGTCCTGTGGGCATGCAGAAAAAATAGGAGCATTTGTGAGAGAAATCAGTAATGAAGTAAAAGAATAGTGAAGAGAGAACATGCAATTACCAAGCCTTTTCATTGCCCATTTCTTCCCGTTGTTCACCTTGAGGGTTCTATCTCAATTCCGAAATAGATCATGTACTGAAGATAAATTAAGAAAAGAGCAAACCTGCCGCCTTAATAATTTGTTTTCTCTATTATGTGTCTAGCTAGTGTAAATGATTAATTTCGTATGTTTCCTGTTAGCTTTTTCATGAAACCAAAATACTGAGTCATTGATTTGTTACAGATGAACAAACTGATTGAATATTACCAGCAGCTTGCTCAGAAAGAGAAGGTTGAACGAGATCGCAAGAAACTGGCACGACGTAGAAACTATATGCCTTTGGCTTTTTCGGTGAGCACTTAGCACAAAAAGGATTATTTTATTCTACACTCATCTCATCCTCAGAAACTCACTCTTGGAATCATAAATAGAGCATGCCATTACAAAAAATTGCAAACTCACCATTGATCAAGACTTCTGTGACGTTGCTGAAACTGGTTTGGCTCAGTGGTAGAGGGTCGGTCTGTGGACTGAAAGGTCCCAGGTTCGATTCCGGTCAAGGGCATGTACATTGGTTGCAGGTGCATCCCTGGTAGGAGGTGTGCAAGAGGCAGCTGGTCGATGTTTCTCTCTCATTGACGTTTCTGGCTCTCTGTCCCTCTCTCCTCCTCTCTGTAAAAAATTAATAATATATATATATATTTTTTTTTATTATTATTTTTTTTTCTTTTTTTTATTTTCCTCCTCCCCCCTATTATTATTTTTTTAAATATTTAATTGATTTTGTACAGAGAGGAAGAGAGAGGGATAGAGAGCTAGAAACATCAATGAGAGAGAATCATCGATCAGCTGCCTCCTGCACACCCCCCACTGGGGATATGCCCACAACCAAGGTACATGCCCTTGACCGGAATCAAACCCGGGACCCTTCAGTCCCCAAGCCGACACTCTATCCATTGAGCCAAACCGGTTTCGGCAAAATATATATTTTTTAAAAAAGACTTCTGTGATGTGAGGACTGTGACTCTTTCAGAAAGTGGCCATTGTCCCTAGATTCCTGAAGGATGGGTAACAGAAAGGTTCCTCAAATTACGTATAGGTGTTTGTTTAAGTCCAGCAGTTATGCTTTTACCACATCATTAGTTCTCTGAGTTTTAAGGACATTTGTGTTTCTCTTCTGATTATTCTCCAAGAGGCTAGTGTTTAATTCTGTAGGCACCACAGAACTGTAACAACTTTGGGATATTACAGAAACTCAGAAGTGGTAGATTTTATTCATATTACACATAGCCCACCTTTGATATCCTCGGAGTGGTGGTTTTCTGGCTCTAGTTATAATTTGGGGGGCACCTTCCCATATTTCTCCAGTATAAAAAAACACTGAGTATTTGTGTGGTTAAATAGATAGTAATATTTTAAAATATATATTTTATTGATTTTTTACAGAAAGGAAGGAAGAGGGAGAGTTAGAAACATCAATGAGAGAGAAACATCAATCAGCTGCCTCCTGCACAGCCCCCACTGGGGATGTGCCTACAACCAAGGTACATGCCTCCGATTGGAATCGAACCTGGCACCCTTGAGTCCACAGGCCGATGCTCTATCCACTGAGCCAAACCGGTCAGGGCGTAAGTGTAATTTTTGATAGGAAGTATTTATGGAAGTCATTCTTTACTAGTTTCCATGCTACCCATCAGAAAGAAGAGATTAAGATTTGGAGCTTTTATTATTGTTCCCAAGTTTTATTTGCTGTCACAGAACAATTTGTTTTCTGTGTGTTTGCTTGGAGCTACGCAGGTTGGCATTTAATAAATACCATTTGTTGAATGGCAATGAATGATGTGTCAAGCACTGTGCTAGGCACTTTACTCATATTATTTTATTAAATCATCATCATCATCTTGTGGAATAGATGGCATATCCTCATTTTACAGTTGAGGAAATGTGATCTGTATAGGTTAAATAATTTGTCATACTGCTTCTACATGAGAATTAGTTAAGCTATCAAAATCCTACAAATTGGTAAGATCTATATAAAAATACCTAGAATTTAATAAAGCATTAAAACTCACAAGGCAGCCGAGACTGGTTTGGCTCAATGGATAGAGCGTCGGCTTGGGGACTGAAGGGTCCCAGGTTCGGTTCCGGTCAAGGGCATGTGCCTTGGTTGCGGGCATGTCCCCGGTGGGGGGTGTGCAGGAGGCGGCTGATCGATGACTCTCTCTCATCGATGTTTCTAGCTCTCTGTCGCTCTCTCTTCCTCTCTGTACAAAATCAATAAAATATATTAAAAAATAAATAAATAAATAAAATAAAACTCACAAGGCAGTCCTAGCTGGTTTGACTAAATAGACAGAGCATTGGTCTGCAAACTAAAGGGTCTCGGGTTCAATTCCAGTCAAGGGCACGTACCACAGTTGCAGGCTCAGTCTCTAGTAGGGGCCGTGCAGGAGACAGCTAATTGATGATGTTCTCTCTCATCAATGTTTCTATCTCTCTCCTTCTCCCTTCCTCTCTGTCTAAAAAAAAAATTTTTTTTTAATCAATAAAAATAAAAAAACTCACAAGGCATTTACATTTGCCAAAGACTTAATGGAATCTTAATGAGTTTTTCTACATAGTCCAGTGGTATAAACAGCATATGCACTAGTGTATTTAGGAGAGGGATTTGAATTAAATGCATCATTCTTCCAACTTTCCCATATAACCTGCCTGCTGTATGAGTTTGCTTCTCTTATGCTGCATTTTTTTTTTTTTTTTTTTTTATCTCTGTTGCAACCTGCTGCTATTTTGGGGCCTACAGCAACATACTATTCATGTAGTGGTAAGTTCTCTTTTATAATTCTTGCTAGCCCTGAAGAAGCTAGTAGATGATCACTGGTGTTCCAAGAAGACATTCCATATAGCTCTGGTCTAAATCAGTGGTCGGCAAACTCATTAGTCAACAGAGCCAAATATCAACAGTACAACGATTGAAATTTCTTTTGAGAGCCAAATTTTTTAAACTTAAACTTCTTCTAACACCACTTCTTCAAAATAGACTCACCCAGGCCATGGTATTTTGTGGAAGAGCCACATTCAATGGGCCAAAGAGCCCCATCTGGCTTGCAAGCTGCAGTTTGCCGACCATGGGTCTAAATCATAGTTTAGATATTTAGATTATTTTTAAAAAATCACATTTTGTTCAGTTTTACTGTGTTAATGTATTTTCAGTCTCCATGTTGGTACTTTAACTATTTTAAAAACTAGCGGCCCAGTGCATGAAATTTGTGCACACTGGAGAAAGGGGTTCCCTCAGCCTGGCTTGTGCTCTCTTGCAGTCCAGGAGCCCTCAGGGGATGTCTGACTGACGGCTTAGGCCCACTCCCCAGGGGGCCTAAGCCTTTAGTCGGACATCCTGAGCACTGCCGCAGAGGCAGGAGAGGCTCCTGCCACCATTGCTGCATTCACTAGCCATGAGCCTAGCTTTTGGCTGAGCGGCCCTCCCCCTGTGGGAGCGCACTGACCACCAGGGGGCAGCTCCTGCGTTGACCATCTGCCCCCTGGTGGTCAGTGCACATCATAGTGAATGGTCATTCCACTGTTTGGTCGATTTGCATATTAACCTTTTATTATATAGGATAAGTTGATGTGGGGGCTACAAATTTCTCTCTTTAAAAGACACTTTCAACTTAGTTTGTTTTTGTTTGCTTGTTTTTTGCTTATTTCCCTGAGCTTCTCATGCTGTCCCACCCAAAATTCTTTCTTTTGATAAATAGAATGTTTAAAGGTGGAACTTCTAATAGGAATTTCTGAACTCTGTTTAGGACAAATATGGTCTTGGAACCAGACTTCAGCGACCACGAGCTGGTGCAACCATCAGTACCCTGGCTGGACTTTCGTAAGTTTGGACATTAAGTGGCTTTGAGGAGAAAAAGCAGGTATCAAAATGAATATTGAAGGAGTGTGATTTTTAAATAAATAACAGTTGCCAATGGTGAAGAAGATTCTCATACTTAGAAGAGACCTAAACAGAAAGAATATTCTATAATAGAGGAATACTTCAATTTTGTTATCATAGAATTTGAAGATAATCAGGTGGACCCTTGAGAAATTACTACCTTTCCTCTTTTAGCCTTAAAGAAGGAGAGGACCAGAAAGAGATAAAGATTGAGCCAGCTCAAGCTGTAGATGAAGTGGAGCCTCTACCTGAAGACTATTACACAAGACCAGTCAATTTAACAGAGGGTAATTTTATACATGATTCTACTTGGTTTATATTTTACAACTAATTCTACTTCTGTTACTCTTATGCCTTGTGATTTGAAATTTTTAATAACATAGTTGTTAGAAGTAAAATGAATCGTAGAAAATAAAGTAGATATAATAGAAATAAACATTTGAACTTTAAATGGTAGTTTTTTTAAGAACACTATTCACAAAAGCAGTATTGTTTTATGTAATTATTTTGTATAAGTCTGATATTGAGCAGGTCACTAAACTGAGGCTGGTTTCTGCCTTTTCATGCTAGTAACCACCCTTCAGCAGCGCCTCTTACAGCCTGACTTCCAGCCAGTCTGTGCTTCTCAGCTCTATCCTCGTCACAAACACCTCCTGATCAAACGGTCCCTGCGCTGCCGGGTAAGTAGAGTTGCCATTTGTATTGGGGAAAAACAAAAATAAAGTCAACGTGATTGGTGTCTGGCCAATATAAAAATCTCTGGAAGATAGTAAATATAAAGACTGTATAGGTGTCCAGGCACATTTTAAATACTTTCAACATAAATTCAATCCTTACAACTCTGTGAGGTGTAGGTACTATTGTTACCCGTGTTTTACAGATGTGGAACCTGAGGTATCAGAAGGTTAAGTTCATAGTACTAACCCCTAAAAAATTAGTGAAAGAATATTTAGCTATTAGTTTAGTAGAGTGGAAACAAAGAGGACTGATAATAAATAATCAATTTAAAATAAAGTAAGAAAGAAGAAAAATCCAGGCTCTGGGAATCTATAGAAGAAGCAACAGAGTTCCTTCAATAAATAAGTTGTAAAGGAAAAAAACCCCACAAAAATGAAACCTTTTGTGTCAGTCCTATCCAACAGAACTCCCTTTGATGATGAAAATGTTCTGTTTCTCACAGTCCAGCATGGCTGCCACTAGTCACATGTGGCTACAGCAGTTGAAATGTGATAGTGCAACTGAGGAACTGAATCTTTCATCTTAAATTCACTTAAATAACTACATATCAGTAGTGGCTACTGTTATCAAATAACACAGCACGAAATGGGAAGAGACCTACGCGGCATATCAAACACATTGTGTAGACTTTATCTAATTCCTGATTTAAACAAAAGAAAAAAGAAGGGAACCAGAGAAGGAAGGAGAAGAATGAGGAGGAAAGAAAATTTATGAAACTTTTGGGGAAATTTAAACTCTGTATTTTTTTATATATATATATTTTATTGATTTTTCACAGAGAGGAAGAGAGAGGGACAGAGAGTTAGAAACATTGATAAGAGAGAATTATCGATCAGCTGTTTCTTGTACACCCCCTAATGGGGATATGCCCGCAACCCAGGTACATGCCCTTGACTGGAATCGAACCTGGGACCTTTCATTCCGCAGGCCGATGCTCTATCCATTGAGCCAAACTGGTTCCTGCTGTCTGTATTTTTTTATGCTATTAAAAGAATTGTTCATTTTTTAGGTATAATAATAGTATTTTTATCCTCACCTGAGGATATATTTTATTGATTTGAAAGAGAGAGAGGAAGAGGGATTATCATTTTGATAACCCTCTCTTTAGAGAAAACCCATAATGAAATGAAAAAAATAGACTGAGAAAAGTAATTTGAAAGGTATATAATTAAAGGATTAGTATCCAGAATATGTAAAGAACTTTAGCACATTAGTAAGGAAAAGGTATCTTAGGATAAAAATAACCAGTAGAGCCGGGACCAGTTTGGCTCAGTGGATAGAGCGTCGGCCTGCGGACTCAAGGGTTCCGGGTTTGATTCTGGTCAAGGGCAAGTACATTGGCTGCGGGCACATCCCTGGTAGGGGGTGTGCAGGAGGTAGCTGGTCGATGTTTCTAGCTCTCTATCCCTCTTCCTTCCTCTCTGTAAAAAATCAATAAAATATATTAAAAAAATAACCAGTAGATACTAACATACAAATCATGGCAGAGGAAATCCCAAAACCCAATAATTAGGAAAGATGCTCAGACTTAGACAGTAATCAGAGAATTGTACATTGAAACTACAGTGAGATACCATTTCATAGATTACCAGGTTGGCAGAAGTTAGCAGTTTGGCAGTGTCTATCAAAATAACAAATGCACATACCCATTGATCCACTTTTAATAAAGTATTCTACATAAACATTTACACATGTGGAAAATGATTGATGTATAAGAATATTTATAGCAGCATTATTTGTAGAAGCAAAATCATAAAAACATCAATTTGGGTATACTAAAGAAGTAATAGGAATCGTTACAGAAGGATACAGAGGCACCCTGTGTGTGCTGGTATGGAATTCCAAGACAGATGGGGGCGGGGATCAAAGGGTAAAATAATGGTCCTTTTATGTTATTGTGAAAAAGAAAGTTGATGTATTTGTATACTTTTATATGCATAGGCTGTGAAAAAACATGAGAAACTGGTTGGCTCAGGGGAGAGGTACAAGGGGACAGGTAATAGGTATCTTTTTAGTGTACCTTTTTTATATTGTTAAAACAACTTTTAACCAGGTGCATGTAGTACCCATTTAATATATAAGGAAATAATTGTTACTGTATTTTAATGTATGATATCTGGAATCATACTATGGGCATTTAAATCCCAGTCCACCTTTCCCCTGGCTGGCAGCGCGGAGGCCGCACGATGCCCGGAGTTACTGTAAAAGACGTGAACCAGCAGGAGTTCGTCAGAGCTCTAGCAGCCTTCCTCAAAAAGTCCGGAAAGCTTAAAGTCCCTGAATGGGTGGACACTGTGAAGCTGGCCAAGCACAAAGAGCTTGCTCCCTACGATGAGAATTGGTTCTACACACGAGCTGCTTCCACAGCGCGGCACCTGTACCTTCGGGGCGGCGCTGGGGTTGGCTCCATGACCAAGATCTATGGAGGACGACAGAGAAACGGTGTCATGCCCAGCCACTTCAGCAGAGGCTCTAAGAGCGTGGCCCGCAGAGTCCTCCAAGCCCTGGAGGGGCTGAAAATGGTGGAGAAGGATCAGGATGGGGGCCGAAAATTGACACCTCAGGGACAGAGAGATCTGGACAGAATCGCAGGGCAGGTGGCAGCTGCCAACAAGAAGCATTAGAACAAATGCTGGGTTAATAAATTGCCTCGTTCATAAAAAAAAAAAAAAAAAAAAAAAAAAAAAAAAAAAAAAAAAAATCCCAGTCCAATTCTTACTGGCTCTGTGAAGTTGCACAGATTATGTATTCTTCCTGTCCCCCATTTTCATCATCTATGAAATGGGGACAATAATACCCCTATCTCATAAGTTGATGTGATGTTTAAATCTACTTAAACCAAGAATGTATACTTTCTAGGCTAGTAGAGAGGAAATAAAAAGGACTAAAAAATAATATAAAAGAAAGCAAGAAAGAAAAAAAATCAACAAAATCTACATTGTTTAGCACATAAAGTAAGTACTCAGTATGTTTTATTATTTCAGTAGTTTGCATTGCAAAAGTATAATTTTTGATAGTGTGGTTGCTGTATCCAGAAGTTATCTGTAACACACGCTATTTCAAAATGTGGTTTTGCAGAAAAATACTAGTAAAACAAAACTCTAGTAAGTGCTATACTTCTAAACTTAATAGCTCCCTGGATCAGCAGAGTGTGTTCTTGTTTTCCTCTGATAAATATATTTTTTACTTTTTTTTAGAAATGTGAACATAACTTGAGCAAGCCAGAATTTAATCCAACATCTATCAAATTTAAAATCCAGCTGGTTGCTGTGTGAGTATTTTAGGATGGGTGTTTTTGGGTGTGTGGATTTTTTTTTTCTTAAAAAAGAAAAACTACATCAAAATAATCTTGTTCTGTTCCTTTTTATATTTTGAATTATACACCAGGAAGTTTAAGGCAAATCTATAGACAGAATCCAGGGTGTGTTTGTATTAGTAACACAGTGATAGGTGGATTGTTGGGTAGAGAGTCACTCATCATTCATTACAAATTACAAAGTACCAAAGTTTGGAAATGATCTTTTAAAAGTTAAAGTAAAAAATAATAATAAAGTATAGTAGGTTGAAGAGTACCCCGTAACAATGTTCATTTATTTAACTGTGTTCACTGATAAATAGTGCTTCACTGAATGTGATAAAAGTGATTTAAGTTAGTTTTAACTCACTGGGACTTGTTAGTAGAAGGAAATTTTTGTGTATGAAAATCACTTGTCAAATAAGAAGAATATTTTGATAAATGAGAAAAATATTGTCTTTAGGGTGAGAGAGTTTGTCCTAAGTAACGCATGAAACTCAGAAGCCACTAAGGAAAAAATAGACAGCTTTGACCTTAGCAAAAAACAGTAGCACGAATTGTCAAAACAAAATCAACAATAACAAAGTCTTGAGACAGTAGAACAGAAAAGAGTATTTGCCACCCTAACCAGTTTGGCTCTGGATAGAGCAGCAGCCAGCAGACTAAGGGGTCCCAGGTTCAATTCTGGTCAAGGGCATGTATCTTGGTTGTGGTAGGCTCAATCCCCCGTAGGTGGCGCACAGGAGGCAGTTGAATGATATTTCACTCTCATCAATGTTTCTCTCTACAAATGTTTTTTCCTCTCTGTAAAATCAATAAATTAAATGTTTTAAAAATTTAAAAAAAAGAAAAAAGTACTTGCCATTCTTGACAAATAAGTTTAATACCATAGACTGCAGAATTCCTCACAAATTGGAAAGGATTCGAACAGGCAGCTCACAAAAAAGGAATTCCAATGGCCAATCAATACCAAATGGAAATATGCTGAAACTTGTTAGAAAATCTAAAAAAATAAAAAAGCATCTGGTGCTTAGAATTAAGGCGAATATTTTTTTACATTGATGGCAGGCTGGCAATTTGCTAGTCTTTTTTGGAGAATGGTCTGGAATACCAAGATGAAATTACATAGACTTTTTAACCCAGCAGTACCATCTCAGGAATCTATTCTGTAGAAACAAAAGTACCAATATCTAAAGATACATTTATAAGGATGTATATTGTAACATTTTAATGACAAAAGCTTGAAGTAATTTCAGTGTCAAGCCGATTAACCACTCTCAAAGAAATAGTTGATTAAATTGACATACACTAGTGCTATAGAATATTATGCAGCAATTAAAAAGCCAGTGCCAGTCAAAAGGTTGAGAAGTGCTGATCTGGTGAGTTAGGAGAAAGGCACTAAAAGGGCCTTGTATGGGTTCTGTTACTCTGTCTAAACTTATTTCCCTTGTCTCTGATATGGGAATACCAATCCTGCCTCCCTCTAAAGGGTTGTGAGAAGAATCATTTGAGCTATTATGTTTGCAAATGCTTTATAAATGTAAATCACCATAAAATATGTTCTATTTTCCTATTATTTAATACATGATTGGTTAGCAAAGAAGAAAACTATAAAAATGGTATAAGTGATGTTTTGTACGCACATCTTTCTTTTTAAATATATATTGATTTTTTACAGAGAGGAAGGGAGAGATAGTTAGAAACATCGATGAGAGAGAAACATCCGTCAGCTGCCTACACTCCCTACTGGGGATGTGCCTGCAACCAAGGTACATGTCCTTGACCAGAATCAAACCTGGGACCATTGAGTCCACAGGCTAACGCTCTATCCACTGAGCCAAAGCGGTTAGGGCTGCACATATTTCTTAATTAAGAATTACAATTACACACATTACAGAAATCCTGAATGGCAGGATGTACCTAGCATTAATTTCTTAAGCTTGCTTTGAGCAAAAATGCTTTTTTTCTGACATCATGGCAGTATTTGCCTGGGAATCTTAATACATGTATGTACTCTGGCCACACTGCATGTCACACATGCTAAATCCAAATCCTTGATAATGGGGCCCTTGAATTTGTATTAAGTTACTCAGAGAGATCTGACGACCAGCAGAGAAAATATCTAGTCTGAAGTTAAAATACCTTATTACCTCTATTTTAAGGTTCACTTCCCCTTAACCCGCCCCACATGCACACACACTTTTAGTGTGTCCTGGTGCATGACATTCGTGACACTGGGGCGGGGTGGGGGGATCCCTCAGCCTGGCCTGTACCTTCTCACAGTCGGGGACCCCTTAGGGGATGTCTGCCTGCTGACTTAGGCCTGCTCCCTGCAGATAGAGGCGAGAGAGGTTCCCGCCACTGCCACTGTACTCACCAACGTAAGCCTAGCTTCTGGCTGAGTGGTGCTCCCCCTATGGGAGCGCACTGACCACCAGGGGGAAGCTCCTGCATAGAGCATCTGCCCCCTGGGGCTCAGTGCATGTCATAGCGACCGGTCATTCTGCCATTTGGTCCATTTACATATTAGCCTTTTATTGTATAGAATATTCACAATTACTAACATTTATGAGTACTTTGTTCAAGGCACTTTTACATACATTATTTAATGTATTCTTCACAATAACCTCAAGACATAGATAGTATTATCCTTCTCATTTTAAAATTGAGAAAACAAAGCAAAAGAGGTAAATATCTTGCCCTGGGGTCTTGACAGAGAAATACTTTGGTATATAAATATTGAACTGGGATTTGAACCTGGACAGTTTGAGTTCAGAATAAACACATATGAGTACAATTTTGTGGTCTTATTTTTGAAAGGCAGCATAAGATAGTGGGTAAGAGCAAGGACCCTGGAACTGGACTGCCTGGGTTTGAATTCTGCCCACTTACCAAGCCTAGCTGCTTCGTCTTTATAGTGGGGGTAATAATAATGACTAGCTCATGCAGTTGCAGTGAAGGGTACAGGAGTTCATATTTGAAAAGTACTTAAAACATTGACTGGCACATAGTAAGTACTGTATAAAAGTGTGTGCTAGTGTTTTTACACTGCTGCAGTATGATATTTAGTCATTTTTGGATCCTATAATTAGCTTTTAGATTTATAGAAATGAACTAATAAAATCTCAAAAATATATATCTTCCATGATACCCACACAACTATTGGCTCTAAAGTAGAAGGGTACATAAGATTTTAGAAAGCCAAGACCAGTTTGGCTCAATGGATAGAGCGTCGGCCTGCGGACTCAAGGGTCCCGGGTTCAATTCCAGTCAAGGGCTTGTGCCTGGGTTGCGAGCACATCCCCAGTGGGGGGTGTGCAGGAGACAGCTGATCGATGTTACTCTCTCATCGATGTTTCTAACTTTCTATCCCTCTCCCTTCCTCTCTGTAAAAAATCAATAAAATATATTTAAAAAAAAAGATTTTAGAAAGAACTCATTACCAATTTGGTCTAATGTCTTAGGTTCTTACTATAGTGAAGATATGATTCTCTAAAATTCTTTTCATTTGACATGTTCTAATAATTAACATGAAGAAATCATATTTTTGCTGCACTATCTAAAAAAAAAAAAAAGTAATTTTATGAGACTCCAGTGACTGTTAATGCTTTTTTTACTCATTCACAGCAATTACATCCCAGAAGTGAGAATCATGTCGATTCCCAATCTTCGCTACATGAAGGTTAGTACTTTGCTTTATTAACAGGAAAAGAAAGAATTCCTTGACTGAAGATGTGTGCATGTGTGGGTGGGTGGCTGTGTGTATTTGGCATGGACACAGTGAGCAAGGGATAAAAGAGAAGAAAGTTTGGAATAATAAAGGGATTGAGATTTTAAAGTTCTTAACAATAGCATCTATGAATGTATGCAGAAGGAGCAGTGTGCACATACAGAGAGATGGAAGCAGGTGGGGAAAGAAAGACGTTGAACCCCACAGGCATTTTTAGCTATTTTCCATCATCTGTGTGCGTATGCAGCAGATAACAGGAAGCATCTAGATTTGAGGCCCTTATCTATGCCCTTTCCTCCCCCTTACACCCCATTATGAATTGAAGAACATTCTGCCGCAGCCTCTTTACTTTTTTCTAATATATTTTTATCGATTTCAGAGAGGAAGGAAGAGGGGGAGAGAGATAGAAATATCAATAATGAGACACTCATTGATTGGCTGCCTCCTGCATGCCCCCTACTGGGGATCGAGCCTGCAACCCCAGCATGTGCCCTTGGCTGGACCTGAACCTGGGACCCTTCAGTTCACAGGCCGACCCTCTATCCACTAAGCCAAACTAGCTAGCCTCTTTAGTTTTAGTTTAGTTTTCCTTTCATGGTGCTCATGAAGACATTTATAAAGTCCCTGTTCATTTTAATATTATTTGCTAATCTCAAGGACAAACTATGGTTCAAAAATCTTAAAAATCTTACAGTCTTGATATGCCATTTTTTTCTATTATTATATTTGATGAGTCTGTGGCTCCCATATTTTATTTTGAGGGCTTCCTTCCTTTTAGACCTTAAGTGGAGGACTGAGTGGAGTATGAGTTGTAAACTTTAAATAATCACTTAGATTAAATACATTTCTTAGAATTTCTGGATCTAGTAACTTGCCTTTTCTATTTGATCTGTCCCATTTCCTCAGTGAAATAACTCTAGAGAGTATATGGCCTAACATATAAATAATAGAGTAGGAATGAGTGAGCATTTGGAGAATGCAGTAATGGAGAGGTATGGGTGGTATTATTTCTCAGAACTGATTGGGGAAGATAGTTGATTTTGTGAAATATTTGCTATAGCAGCTAAGAAAGTAGACCTGGGTGGCGATAGTGGAACACGTCTAAGATGCTTTTCCTATTTCACAGGAGAGCCAAGTTCTCCTGACTCTTACGAATCCAGTGGAGAACCTCACCCATGTGACACTGCTGGAATGCGACGAAGGGGACCCTGATAATGTCAACAGCACTGCTAAGGTGGGAGCATTTTGCCTTGTTCTGACCCTGATTTTTCCTGGAATGACCTCATTTGACCTGGCTTACAGGACTCTGTACTGTCTCTCATTTCTATATCCAAGGTGTCATCGGTTCTTCTGATTCTACCTCCGAAGGTTTTACTTTCTCTGCAGACACTGCCGCTGCCCTGTTTGAAAGATTCATCTTTTCTTACCTGGACTGTAGTAGTTTCCTAACTGACCTCACTGTTTTCAGTCCACCTCGCCTCCATTCCAGTCCACCTTCTGTCTTGTCACCAGGGTGATCTTTCCAAAATCTGATTTTGATCATGACATGCTGATTACTTGCTATTTCTCTGACTCTGAGATGAAATTCAAATTCCTTGACATAGCAGAAGAGCTCCTTAATGTCCTTACTTCTTTCTGTTCTTAATGTCCTCACCTCTCTCTGTTCTTCAGATGATTTTACGCCAGATCTCCAAATCTAGCATTCTCCAAATTACACATATTTATGGTTGAGATCCAGGCAAATCTCATGGCTTGTGAACTTCCACCCTGGAGAATTGCATATGCTGTTTGTTTTATCTAGAATGCCTCTCCTGCCCCTCTCCCCTGGCATACATGCCCACACCACTCCTTCAGTGTAATGAATGCTCATTCTGCAAGACTCACAGGAGTTGGCATCTCCTTTAAAAGTTAGTATGCCTCCTCTAGATGCGTTCTGCTTATATAGAGAATGCATAGCACTAAATAAATATTAAAACAGGTGATTTTTGACTCTCAGTGTTAGGTGAGTAAATGAAATGTGGCCTTTCTCCATTTTGCTATTTGGTGATTCATCTAGTACTTGGTATTTTAGATCAAGACCTTTCTCTGTAGACGATCTATTACTGACTCATAATTCAGCGTGATATTTATTAATAGAGATTGGTAGAAAGGATATCTCTGTCTGTAATTAGCTGTTATTCAAATAATCCTTCTTAGTAGGGAATGTCTTGATCCTATCCCTTTTTTCCTTCCTGTGCTTTATGTATGAGAGCTTTCTTCCTTTTAGTTCTTAAGTGGAGGACTTATTATTTCTCTTGCTAGCATTATTCCCAAAGAGAGATGACACACCTCCCTCCTTGTTTCTTTTTCTTTTTGTTAAATAACACTAAGCTGTTCCAGTAATGGTAGAAACAGAAATAACTGCCTATGCATATACCCAGCTGGTGAATTTGCTCTATTTCTTTCTCTTTACACTCCTCAGCCACATTTGTATCCATAATTAGAAATGTGGTTGATGTTACCTTGTTAACCTCTGACATAGCAAAGTTGAAACCTAGTTACAACAGAAGGATAAGTCTGAAGAATGCTTGTTTTCCATGACCATAAACATACCCAACATCCCCGTTTCAGAAAATACTGTTTCAACCAGTGTTTCTCCTTTATGTGTTCCTTTAAAAAAAAGAAAAGATGAACTGCTTCAGATATACCATAAAGTTTGAAGACTAATGTAGCAAAAATCCATGTACTTCCATCCCCTTAAGAAATAGAATATTAAACACACAATTAAAACCTCTACGCCCTTCCCGCTTGAACTTCCCAATGCAACCACAATGAAATAAACACTCCCTTGACTTTATCATTCCCTTGAAATTTTTTGTCCTTATATTTTTACTGGAAATGTCTGTTTTTTAAACAGTGATTTTAAACTTCATGTAAGTGCTATCACACTAAGTTTCTTGAGTCTTGCTAATTACTTCTAAATGTCCACATCACTGTAATACTTCGCTGTATTCTGTTGAATGAATGTCCTACGACACAGATTCCTTCTAAGGAAGGCCTCTCTCTCGTTTTCCAGGTGGTGGTGCCGCCCAAAGAGCTGGTGCTGGCCGGCAAGGACGCGGCCGCAGAGTACGACGAGCTGGCAGAGCCCCAGGACTTTCAGGATGATCCCGAGTGAGTGATCTTTCTCTGACACCCCTCCCCCCACATTGGCTGATACAGGAGGCCCACTTAGAGATCCTACATATTTTACCCGCATTTTAAAAAACAAGTTTCTCTTCTTATAAAAATAATTACTATAGATATTTTGAAAATACATATCAACCATGAAGAAGAAAATAAAATCTAACCACCAGAGATAAGCATCATATACATTTTGGTGTTTGTCCTTTCATCATTGGTATCATTCTGTAAGCACGTTGTTTTAATCTTTGTTTTTTCCCCCCCACATAAATACATTTTCCCATGTTAAAAACATTTCAAGTGCATGTATAATGGTTGTGGACAGAATACAGGTTGCTAACAGAATACACTACTATCCCTGTAGATTTATCCCTGGATTTGTCCACTCCTACCCTCACTCTCTTAGAGTAATTAATAGATATAATTCTCTCAGACCTAATAACTGAAAAGGGAAAGACCAAACCTTTTCCAGGATAGGGAATGCATCATCAGCATCCAGTCTGAAGACAGAAATCATATCAGTTATTTGAACAGAGAGGATTTAATATAAAGAATTGTTAACTGGGTAACTTCAAAGGTTAAAATAACTCTGAAGTATCCCAGAGATGGCAATTTTATGAAAGAGCTACCACCCCAGGGCTGAGGGAACACAGGGAAATGGTTAAAATTGTTAAAACGTAGAAACTTGAAGGAAGGCCCTGGTGGAGCAGAAATTCAGACCTGTGGGCAGTGAGAGGGGACACACTTTACAGGAGCTGGCATCTTGGTGGCAGCAGAGGCCTGCACGATGCAGCTGGTTATGCAAGAGTTGGAACACTAGCTGGCTCTTGACACTTTCTGGGTGACGGAGCGTTCATGGAGTGATGCCCACGGGAACCGCACACAAACAGCAAGCTCTCAGAGAGGAGCAAGCCCCTCCTTCCCGCAGGCTCTAGTCTCTCTTTAGAGTCCCCCTAACGGGAACCTGACAGGGAGCCAGCTTACAGAGCCGAAATGTGGTTAGCAGAGTCCTGGGTCACAAACCAAGACGTAGAAGGTGGGCCTGGAGCTGAGAAGCAGTGGCTAATAGACTGGCACAGGGAACATTTAAGGTTTTGTAACAGAATAATCAGAATAATCAAAAGCAAGATATTGGAAAAAAGAGAGGACGTAGGATGGATTGGAAAAATAAAGTGAGAGCAAAGGTGAGATTAGTACAGTGATTATGGGTTAAGTTGAGAAAGCACCAGGGCACGTGGTCTGTTTTGTTTCATTGTTCTGTAGAGTCCTGGGCTCCACTCCAGAGATTCTTTTCAACAGGTTTAGGGGGGCACCAGACATCTGAATTTTTTTTTTTAGCTTCCCAGATGGCAGTGCTTGCCTGGGGGGGTAAGGATAGAAAGACAGATTTTTTCTTTTTTCTATTTTTAACTGAATTTAAAAAATGAATCTGATACAAATCAAAAGTTTTATTAACTACAATATGAAATGCATTCTCTTTAATCTTTTGTTTTATGTGGGTCCTTAAGTTACATTCATTAGGTACATAAATTTGTTAAGCCAGTGCAAATTATTCATTATCTGAGGTAGTAAATTCTAGCCAGAGTAATTACATGACAGATTAACAAAATTGAATTAATCATATTTCACATTACTGTTCTTTATAGGACTTTTAGATATCTGGAAATTGAAGTTATGCAGTACTGTTTAAATATGTAAATGTTTAATTCCAATAACTTTTCTGAGAGTGACTATCATTTGGGCAGTAGCTCAAATTCTGTTTAATTACTTTTTGAAGTTATTTTTTAAAATATATTTTTATTGATTTCAGAGAAGAAGTGAGAGGGAGAGGGATATAGAAACATCAATGATGAGAGAGAATCATTGATTGGCTGCCTCCTTCACGCCTCCTACTGGGGATTGAGCTAGCAACCCGGGTATGTGCCCTTAAATGGAATCGAGCCCAGGACACTTCAGTCTGTAGGCCAACGCTCTATCCACTGAGCCAAACCAGCTAGGGCTAAAGCTAAGTTATTAAATCATAAACTCCAAGTGCATATCAGAAAAAACTGAAATGGAAACTTCAACTAGAGAGAATTTTTTCTATTCTGAAAATTCCTAATTTATAGAAGTTATTTACAAAAACACTGATTTATGGTGTTCCAGAAATTTCTTTAACTCTGAGTTATGATCACTGTTTATTCTATAGAAACATTACCACATATACACAAAGATGAACGTAAAAAAGGGGCTTTCGAAGCACCCTTGTTTATAATAGGAATGTTGACAACAATCTCAGTGTATGACAATTATGGTAATATAGGATAGAATACTAGGAAACTGCCAAAACCTGTTTGGCTCAATGGATAGAGCGTTGGCTTGGGGACTGAAGGGTCCCGGGTTCGATTCTGGTCAAAGGCATGTACCTTGGTTGCGGGCATATCCCCAGTAGGGGGTGTGCAAGAGGCAGCTGATGAATGACTCTCTCATCGATGTTTCTAACTATCTCTCTTCCTCTCTGTAAAAAATCAATAAAATACATACATTTTTTTAAAAAGGATACTAGGAAACTACTAAGGAGAATGGAGAAGATCTTTATATACCAATATGGAAAAGTGTTTCTGATAAACGGGGGGGGGGGGGGGGGGGGGGGAGAAACAACCTTTTGTGTTGGTCAAAAAAAGCAGAAAATTATAAATACAGAAAAATATCTGGTTGGTTAAAAAGCTTGCAGTTTTTCCCTCATGCAGAAGGAAATAATAAGGGGAAAGGCTTTTACTTTTTACCATTTGAATTTGATTATATTTTACTTTTGTAACACTTAAAAAATAAGGATATCAACATTTTGCTGAAGAAACTCTTCATTGCTGATAGCATGCTGGGGGTTCTATCTTGTCATCAGATTTCCTGTAGGGCCATAAAATGACTAAGTCTTAGTGGCTTGGCTGACTTGAGACCTACCTAACGCTGTGCTTATTTCCTTCCATAGCATTATTGCGTTCAGGAAGGCCAACAAAGTCGGCATTTTCATCAAAGTGACCCCACAGCGTGAGGAGGGCGAAGTGACCGTGTGCTTTAAGATGAAGCATGATTTTAAAAACCTGGCAGCGCCCATCCGCCCCATCGAGGAAAGTGACCAGGGCACGGAAGTCATCTGGCTCACTCAGCACGTGGAGCTCAGCCTGGGCCCACTCCTTCCTTAAATGTTCACTGGTGGGCAGAGCCCAACGGACAGTGTCACCACAGATCCCTGCGAAAACACGGAAGCCGCTGCTTCATCAGCCCTGTTTATAACAATGTACCCACACACTACTGAGTCCTGTCCTAGGAGGGTGGGGCATAGGCAAGGCGTTAGGAACACAGGGCAACTGCTGTTCCTCTTACTCTGTTAACACCAGAAAGTCTGTGTCTCCCTCACCGAACCCTGCATGTTGACTACAACAGCATAGCTCCATCTGAGGAAAAGAGATGGCTGTTCCTCGGAGTGGCATTAGATTTACCACTTGAGAGATTCTGACATACCGTCGCACAGGATCGTAATCTCACAGATGAACTGAAAATGGTAACTAAAAAGTAGGCCTGTTGGCCACGAACCGACATTGGTCTCAGTGTACCAACTGCTTTCTGCATTCCATTAGATATAACCTAGCAGTCTAACATACTTCTCACTTGCCGTCATGGCTACCACCGTGCCATAGATTTCCATTTGACAGAAAAATGGAATTGTCACATTGCCTTCAGTTCTGTGATGATTGGAAAGTCTTAAGCACTCTCATTTGCTCTCTTAGTGAATATAGGATACTTATTTATTGGTTGCTCTTTAAAAATTTTCCCAGTAGAATATGGAACTTTAAAAAAAAAAAAAAGAATTTGAGAAGAAGGCACTTACATGTTCCATCAAGGGGTTGGCAAATTCTATTCACTTTAAATTTTGCTACAATACCCAGGGATTAATACTTCACAGGGAGGCAGTCTTTATGTGTCTCCCTACCCCTTCTCTGCTCTGCCTCTTTAATCCAATAGATTGTTCTGAATATTTGGGACCTGGAAAGAGTCCAAAGAAAACTTGGTGGACAAGTTCACTTCTGGAATGCACAAAACATCATAAAGGTTAGATTGTAAGCATGATCTGAACTAATGTTCTTTCCATTGATTTCAAGGGGAGATTAATAGTTATAAACTCTTGAATCCCAAACTGGATATTAAGAAAGAACCTTTCCCCTTCCTGAGTTTGACTTTCATCACATGATAAGTCAAATAAGACTATTTGGATTGTAAAATAGCTCAGCAAGCAGCCCAGAACACTTGCCTAACAGCACACATTCTGTTTCCGTTCTGTATCCTGGAGTTGGGTTGTTAACCCGAATTTCTGTGGTGTTTTCTACGATGAAACTTGAGACAGTAAACCACGAGCTGTACCACATTTTCTGTAAATGCATTGTTAGCAAATGGCCAGCAGACCTTTGGTAAAAAGTGAAATTTTCTGTTTACCTTGGTTTTATTTTCAGTTCAAGCCTTTAGTTTAGCAGAAAAGGATGAGATATAGAAATCAATGATATGGACAAGACCAAGTGTCCTGCCAGCTCCCTGGACAATAACTATATTTAGGAAGCCTTAAAAGACACTAAGTGGTACTTTTAAGGTCAAGCCAATTTTACGAAACAATATTCCACAGAGTAATATACTAGTATATGCTACAGTGTAAGAAAAAACACTCATCCCTAATATTATGACAATAATAATTAAGGTTTAGCCTCTTAAAAGTTGGGGCAAGTGTTGTTAATAGCAAATGTACAAACTATAAAAATAGTTTAATTTGTTGTGACCCCCACAGAGTGTCAAATTAATTTTTATTTCACTACCTGCTGGAACCTACTGTGAAGCCAGTGCTCCCATTTTCCAGCAAAGAAAGAGAATAGCTTTCTTAGTTTACACATTTGCATAGACTACACACAGTTGTGTGTTTTACATTCATGGCGTATAGCTGATATTTATTCAAAAAGTAATAAGGTTGAAGTAATGGGTCTCATCACTTCCTCCCCTGCCCCATGACACAGAATCACAAAAACACTTGATCATAGAATTTTTAAAAAATATATATTTTATTGATTTTTCACAGAGAGGAAGAGAGAAGGATAGAGAGTTAGAAACATCGATGAGAGAGAATCATCGATCAGCTGCCTCTTGCACACCCCCTACTGGGGATGTGCCCGCAACCAAGGTACATGCCCTTAACTGGAATCGAACCTGGGACCTTTCAGTCCGCAGGCAGATGCTCTATCCACTGAGCCAAACCGGTCCCGGCTGATCATAGAATTTTTTTAATAAGCCAAATGAACTTAGAGAATAACAGAGCCATTGATATGTTTCCTCAAAATAGTTTTCAGTGCAAGTTGATATTCTGTGTGTGAGTAGAAATGGTCCGCCACCTGCAGCTGGTGAATTCAGAATTCTTGTTACTTTTGTATATTAGAATAGATTTTTAATGCCCAGTCAGTGTGCACCACTGCAGGTGAATTAGATGTCATTAGCACTAGAGACTATTGGAAACGTAAGGCAAAATGAATTTGGATTTGTGATTTGATTATTTCACCGTTTTCTTTTGTTCTTGTAAGCATAATGAGCTAAATGTCATGTATATTTGTGAAGAAACATCCTTTTTGGTCCCTTTTGGGAATGAGGGGCACTCCTTGATCTTTATGAATGGCAGGTTCCTGTTTTGCCTTATTGCTTAATGTAATGTAGTGAAATAAAGCAGACAAAGCTTGGATGTCTTTGGTTTGGTTTCATGAAGACTGGAATAGCATGCATCAGTCAGAAGATGGGTGGAGTCCAGAGAGTTAATATGAGAGTCAATAGAGCATGCTTCCTTTGTCCATTTTTAAAAAAATATATTTTATTGATTTTTTTTTTTTTTTTTTACAGAGAGGAAGGGAGAGGGAGAGAGAGTTAGAAATGTCGATGAGAGAGAAACATCGACCAGCTGCCTCTTGCACACCCCCTACCAGGAACGTGCCCTCAACCAATGTACATGCCCTTGACCGGAATCGAACCTGGGACCTTTCAGTCCGCAGACCGACGCTCTACCACTGAGCCAAACGGGTTTCGGCTGTCCATTTCTTTACATGAACTAAGCCCAAACCTCAGATCAAGTTGGTTCAATGTGATGTTGTATGGGTAGACGTTACTTGAGCTCCTTATAAACACATTCCGAACCATTATATAAGTGTTAGATTGCTGGTTTCTACCAGGTTCTATCCTTGGTCATTGCTCCCAAAGACATCCTTTCAAGTATACAAAATGGCCCAACTGCAACCAATAGCCACTCAACCCCCTTCATCTGTTTTACCCTTCCCTATATTTTCTTGTAAGTGAGGCTTTTCCCTCACTGCCATATTGAATGATGTAAACTGCCCACCCCACTAAATACGTTTCCTATCCCCCTCTGTGGCCCCACCCCCATAGCATTAAGCACCATCCCATTAACTGTGTGCTCTTTATTTTCTGAGTACTCATACTAGAATATACCCTCCACAGTGCAGGGATTTTTTTTTTAAATTATTACTGTATCTGTGAAGCCTAGAACAATGCCTGACAAATAGTAGGCACCCACTATTTATTGAGTAATACTATCATCCTTATTTATATAGCTATTGATCTTTTATCTTTTTTTCATCTACATATGTCTCTTTGTCATAAGCCAAATATCTTAACTTGCCTTAAGCTTTCTTGTTCTGGTGTTTTCCCTATGAATACTCTTCCCCCTCATTGCACCTCCAAAATTACTTTCCTCCTCCCATCTCTCCCTTACATCCATCTAGGTGTGATCTTAATCTGTAGCACCTCTTCCTTGTATGATGGGGTTTTGTATGTGTAGCTCCTTTGCTGGATTGCAAACTCCATCAGGGCCAAATCCAGCCCCCCTCATCTGTTTCTCATGTATTCCATTCAAAGGGCACCCTGGAGAAAACTCAAAATCTCAGAGCTAGTCGAAACCAGTTTGGCTCAGTGGACAGAGCATCAGCCTACGGGCTGAAAGGCCCCAGGTTCAATTCCGGTCAAGGGCATTTACCTTGGTTGCAGGCACATCCCCAGTGTGGGGGGTGCAGGAGGCAGCTGATGGATGTTTCTTTCATTGATGTTTCTGACCATCTCCCTTCCTCTCTATAAAAAATCAATAAAATATATATTTTTAAAAACTCAGAGCTAGTCAGGCCAGCATGGCTAGGTGGTTGAGCACTGAACTATGAACCAGGAGGTCATATTGTGATTTTTGGTGAGGGCACATCCCAGGTGGCAGGCTGAATCTCCAGTGTGGAACGTGCAGGAGGCAGCCGACCAATGATTCTCATCATTGATGTTTCTATCTCTCCCTCTCCCTTCCTCTCTGAAACTAATAGAAATATATTTAAAAATATTTCTGCTTAAAAAACAAAACTCAGAGCTAAGTCAATTGCTCAATTGTAATATAGTAGTTTTCCCTTCTTCAGAATTTCAGTTATCTGCAGTCAACCATGGTCCAAAAATATTAAATGGAAAATTCCAGATAGAAGCAATTCATAAATTTTAAATAGCATGCCATTCTGAATAGCATGATAAAACCTCATGCTGTTTCCCACTTGGGACATGAATAATCCCTTTGTCTATCGGTGCTGTGCACACCCATTAGTCAAATAGCTGTCTTGGTTATCAGATCCACTACTGGTTTTGCAGTACTTGTGTTCAAGTCACCCTTATTTTATTTCATAACGGCCCCTAAAATGTTGGCAATTGGGATATGCCAAGGAGACACCATAAAGTGCTTCCTTGACATAAAGAGGAATGTGTGTATAGGACAAATAGTATATGTAGTACTGTAATGGTCTCAGGCATCAGCTGGGGGTCTTGGAAGGTGTCCCACACAGTTAAGAGGGCACTCCTGTACTTTATCCTCATTTTCTTATGGTCAGGGGCATCTGTAGTGAAATATATATTTTACTTTAGATGTGAGACACCTACATAAGAATGACTAAGTGGTAAGTGAAATGGAACATTAAATAATATGGAATCAAACAGTGAGAAAGTCGTTTCCTCTCATGTCTCCCCAGCCCCCTTTCTTCTGTTAAATCAAGGAAAGTCCAGCTGGTGTGTCACAGTGGATTGAGCATCATCCCATGCACCAAGGGGTTGCTGGTTCAATTCCCAGTCAGAGCACCTGTTTGGGTTGCAGTTCAATCCCTAGGATGGGGCATGCAGGAGATGGCCAATCAATGTTTCTCATCCATGTTTCTTTCTCCCTAAATCAATAAAAACATACTTCTTAAAAAAGGAAGTTTGGCACATTTAACACTTATGTTTTTAAACAGGCCTCTGGCTCAGAGCCTTTGGCAGACAACAGTAGCTACTTACTAAAAAATGTTTCATTTTCCCTGTAGTTGTTTTTAAGACTACATCTAAACATAATACTAGTCCAGTTCGCATAGCTCAGTGGTTGAGCGTCAGACTCTGAACCAGAAGGTCATAGTTCAATTCCAAGACAGGGCACATGGCTGGGTTGTGGGCTCAATCCCCTGTGTGTGAAGTGCAGGAAGCCACCAATCAATGATTCCTTCTCATCATTTGATGTTTCTATATCTCACCCTCCCTCTCTGAAATCAATAAATATATTTTTTTAAAAACCAAACATGATACTAATTTTACATTTACAGACGTGATCAAATTTTCCTTTTAAAATAAAAGTGGAGTCCAGCCTGTGTGGCTGAGTGGTTGGGTGTTGCTATGAACCAGGAGGTGATGGTTTGATTCCCAGTTGGGTCATGGGCCCTGGTTGCGGGCTCGACCCCCAGTAGGGAGTGTGCAGGAGGCAGCCAACTGATGATTCTCATCATTGATGTTTCTATCTCTCCCTCTCCTTTCCTCTCTGAAATCAATAAAAATATATTTTAAAAGTAAATAAAATAAAAATAAAGTAAATAAAATAGAAGTGGAACTCAGGAGTTTCACTTCTGCCTATAATGCAGATACCTCGAAAACAAAAGGTCAATACATGGCTGAGAGGGCAGGGCAGGGCGAGGATGAGCTCCCGACTCCACCTTGCTCCCGACTTGAGTTATCCCTAGCCCTCACCCAACCAATCAGGGTTAGCCAAGGCAGTGACATCACCACCGACCAGAGTAAAACCCCTGGACGGGGCGAAATTTGCGCTCTCTTCCACCATGCTGCCAGCGTGAGTGGGAAGAGCCCATGCTAGCATGGAAAAGGCTCTTTTGTTTATTGCATTGGACTTGGCTCCCTGGTGGTCCTTGGGGATCACGAAGTCGGCGTAACAATGGCGAGATCATACATTTTATTGGAGTTGTGGCAGAGCAGTCAAATACCCTGAATTTCAAGGAGGGACAGATCCTCTAGAAAGATCAGACAGAATGGCTCACCTGTAGCAGAGCATGAGAGGAAGAAGTGTTGAATGCATATGAGCAGGTAAGAGGAAATCAACAACAACAACAACAACAACAAAATGAATTGTTAAAGCCCAACTCTGGGCTAAAGTGGCATTTTAAAACCCCAGATTGCTTCAGACTCTAAGGAAGCTTGCAGGCATTCACAAGCTCTTCCCAAGACCTTCACCAGGTGTTCAAAAGAAAGACCCGCAGGGCCAGGGGCTGGTGCTGGAGCTCTCAGAGCCTCCCTTGTTTGGAGGCGTGCAGGAGGGACCTTCTGACACT